CAGATTAGAATTTAAACCAATCAGATCAAATGATTGTTATACAATGCCAATAACATCTTTTTCAAGATGTCATTCGCAAAATTAATGCTAATGAGACTCAATGGTTATTTTTTGGCACAAATGATGTCATTGGTAGACGCGTCTCCTCTATCATATCCCATCCATAATTCTCAATATTTGAAGACAAATGACAGAGTCGACAGCCCTGCCATATCCCCTCACCTTGTGTGATGAATCCATGCAGCCCCTGTTCAAGCAAATAAATACTTGTTCTGACATACTGACTGTATAATTCAACTGTATGAAAAGGCACTTGAGTACATCCTCTGGATTTTGCCCATCTCTGGTGAGGCTATGAATGAAATGACTTTTTAAGTAGGGGGTGTAGGTAGACCTATGTGTAGGTATGACAGGCTTGTAACCATGCAGTTGAACTTCACTGTGGTGATGTTCTGGTTAGAAATTAAGATCAAAGTATTGATCATGTACTGTTATTCAGATAACGAAAGAGTGGATTATGAAGCTTTGGCAATCCCAGGGACATCTGGCGAGAGTAAGTGCATGTATTAATTATTACTGTCAGACAGCTGTCAATTACATTGAAGTTCAATATACAGAGCAATGCAGCCTCAAATAAACAATATAGCTCTCTTGTAAAAACTCCATAAAGAATGGTACCCTCTATATAGCGACACAAGCATATTAAAAATATTAAGCTTATGTCACAAATTGCTTATAAGTGAAGACAACCACACAAGTTAAGGCTTTTCTCCTATGCTTCAGGCTGATGTTCCGGTTATTTGAACATTCATTTTGATAAGCATAAGTTTCGATCAAAACTTTTAGCTCACAAAATTAAAGGAGCAAACTTTTGGGACACTCTGTATTGTACGTCCTCTTTGGATAAATATTAGCTGTAGGCTCTTAGCCAATGCTGAGACAGATAGTGAGTGCAATGTTTAAAAAGACAGTTATCTCGTTTCCCCAAAAAATGACGGGTTCACCCAAGAGGAGCCCTACTTAGTACTTGCTGAGAACATCTCCTCGTAGTCAATCTCGTCTCAGAATCAAAAGCTCCGTAATGTTAAGGGAAAATCCTTAAGGAAGGGGTCATCTCAGTGAAAGTCGAGATAGGTAGGTCTAAAATTCTGGTCACTTTTCCACAGGACAGAATACAGGACACCGTGATAAAAAATAAAAATAATAATAAAATAAAAATGAAATGAAATAAAAATGTCTAGGCCTGTTTTTTTGACCGTTTTCATTGAGGGGGATCTGTGTGGTTTTGTTAATTTGTCGATGGAGCAGAGAATTATAATTTTGACTTGTGGAATGTGACCTGTACTTTAGACCCGGCAGTTAATATTCTTGCCTTCAACAGAAATTAAGTCATTCGTGATAGAAATTTCTTAGAAACAAAATGTGAATACAAAGACAATACCCACTTCCTTTCAAAAGTCTAAGGGGCCGACCATTTGACTTTTGAAGGAAATTTTTTTAATACGAAATTTCTCTTCCCGAGTTGAAACAATATTTCACTCGTTTGCGCTTTTTCAACACTGGAAGAGAAATTCCATCCCTCAGCGCGGCAAAGTTATATCTTTTACTTTTTTCAGTGAAGGAAATTTTTTCCCTGGTATTTCCTTCCAAGAATGTTATTTCCTCGAGATCATTATGCAGGAAATTTTTTTTATATACTAGTAGTAATCATAGATCAATGAGTGCGTTCGAATTTTCTAAGCTCCAGATTAGCTTTTGTGTCGTCAGGCATTATTTCAAAATCATGGAAGAGATCATTAATGAAAAGGTAAACATTCTTTTCGTAAAAAATGTTCTTCGCGTATACGGCTTCAAAATATCTCACTGATTAACTCTTTACTCCTAACATGTCTCACTCTCCCTCAAGCATGGTCGATAAAAATGTAAAGTAGATCGTAGAAAGTTCTTTGTTGTTAAAAAGATAAACATGTCACTACAAACTGCGAAAAAATGGTAGCCATGAAGGGTAAAAGTCCTGGCTTTATGCGTGACACAACTTGAAGTGAAAACAATGCTCATAGGAGCGACGGAAACATATTAGGTTTTTGCTAGATTACTGATGTCAGAGAACCAGACAGAATCTTTTGCCATTGTGCAAACTTTTCATCTCATGATTATTTTAAGTTCATGTAGATCAGTTCAACATGTTTTAAACTTAGCTTGCTTCAGCGAGCGAGATACTTATCATGCAAAATTGCCCGCGTAGAGATATCAGACGTGAATAAGGCATTACAGTTGTAACAACCTGCACTGATACGCTCAAGCTTAGTTTTTCGTGCATGAAAGAGGTTAAACTACAATTATGTAAATAGACTCAAACGCACTGGTAAACATCTCACGGCACAAATGTTACCTGGTCTTTATTTGTGGGTTTCTACGAAGTTCCAGCGCGATTTGAACGGCATTGACCGAAAAGTGTAGCAGAATCATGAGCTCAGTGATAAAACCCACTTAGAAAACAACTCCAAAGTTCATAATCATTCTTTTGCCGAACTCAAATATTCCCATGTAATCATCTTGTTGACCTTGATGGAACCAGTGATGCACGTGATTGCCATATGACAATTGCTTATGACGTAAATAACGTGAGCTAAATTATTCAAGATGGCGCAAAAAATGCAGACGTACGACGAAACTCGCTTGCTGAAAAGGTCACCCTTAAGTACCACAGGAACCCCAAGTGAGTACCATAGGAATCCCAAGATTATGTGTTACGTTCTCCTAACGTCGAACGCAATTATTACCCCCCCCTTCAAAACGTCACATGGTGGGCTCCTAAATAATGACAGACCCGGGGTTAGATTTATAAATACGTGGGATTTACAACTGCTATTTTCGCAGTTATGGATTTAGGGGGAGTTTCCGACTTGATTCTTATTTCTATGTACTCCCCCTCTTTCAAAAGTACATACTTAGGACCCTCCAAGTCCAAGTATGCTTGGGTTTTCTCGTCACTTGATTTCACGAAAAAGCTGTCAAAACAAAAGATGACAATTTAATTGATTGACAATCTACTAATTCCAGTAACAATCTTCAATAGTTTGAGTCTGGAACCCCACCTAAGGGTGGGAAAAGTTTTTGCATGGTCGACAACGTCATTGGTAACTATTTATGGAAACCATCCTGACGTCCTACTCTCCTTGGAAAAGGAGGAAAAGAAAAAGTCACGCAATGAAGGAGAATACATTTGGGAAAGAAAAACAAACTTTCTTTTTTCGTTATAGTGCATGATACAATTTGCAATACGTTGTCGTTCTCTTGTTTACCCTATTACCTATGGAGACATATTCGCATAAACTATTTCGGTTCTCCTCAATGAGTATCTTTGTGATTAAGGGTATGGTTTTTACTTGACTTAGGGACAGCTGTACAATGGCCGATGATTGCTAGAGCCGTCAACAACTACTTGCCTTGGGACGACCGCAATGTCCTCCAACCCCTGGATGTATTTCAGGCGCACTAAGCCTTTTTGGAAGTATATCCTCCACCTCCTTTCAAGTTTAACAAAGACTGGTGAGGCTTAAGGGCCTGATCCTACACCCAGTCCTGTCCACGTTAGGACAAACTGTTCTGATGGTGAACTATGTGGAAGAACGGCCAATCGTCCCAGCAATAACAGTTTTGAAAAACGATTACTTTTCTGTACTCTATCCTCTGTCTGCTGAGACATTAGGGGCACCCAGCGACATTTTTCTGTGAAATAACTGTTTCAAGGACAACCATTCCATTCGTGTGAAATATTTGGAGTTTCTCTAACAGATTAACCACGATTTTCGGAGGTTGTGTTATCCACATTTTAATACTAATATATTGTGTTTAATAAAAAGGGTCTCCTAAAAATTTCGGTATAAAGACAAAATGTCCGCTGTAATTTTCTAAATTTGAAATTAAGGCTACTTCATGTCCTCAAACTTTCGCTGGACCCATAATGGTAGCTAACACTTTCGGATGAGACGAAAAAGCCACCTATACTAAGACTTTCGTGACGACCAAAGTTCCCCTGAGACATCTAAACAGATTAATAGTTTTTAGGGCAACTCAAAATTAACCAAATTAGCTTTCAAGGCACAGAGAAAAGTATGTGAGACACTTCTGGCGTATTCGGAAACTTGGGTACCCAATTGAAAAGTAAACGTTTGTTTGGCCATTTTTTTTTTCTCAAAGCTTTTCACCGAAGAAACTAAGTCAACAGTAACTGAATTTTTTCTGGCCATGAATTCCACAGAATTCCCGTTCTTTCACTTTCCATTAAAGATATGTGACGTTCCATTTTTTTTTTGGTTTCCAACATTTCCCCTTCTCTACAATGCTGCCTGCAGCCACGTACAGGGCATTGCTCTACGACTTTGGGGCAATCCAAGCAATGTGAAGGAATTAAATACCTGAAAATAAAGTAAGCATATTGTTGCATTCCCAGGTCACAGATTGTCAGTCACTCGAATCCATAGACTTTCAAAGTCTTAAAGAGTATGATAAGAAGAAGCCGGAGGCTGAAAAGGATATAATTTGGCTTCAACAGTTCGTTCCCGGGAGGAGTACCCTTCACGCACAGGTCCTTCGATCTTCCTAGATAACTCGGGAAGAGGAAGGGGCCTCTCCTTGCGGAGTCCGAAATGCATTCAACAGGACATAGACACGTGCGTCATCATGGCGGCCGGCCCAACTGGGTGAGCTCACTACAAATTCTAATATTCCCGTTTATAACAGCAGTTTTAATTCGTGAAAGGATAGGTGACGACTTTCCAGAGTCCTACCAGGCCACAAGCGTCTCAAAGATGCTTGTTGCACCAGAATTCGTCTCAAATTCGACAAACCATGGAAGATTCAAATCTCGTGCCAAACGATTTACTTCACGGAGGGTTCTATACACGGCCAAAGGAACTAGAAGCTTCAATCTGGAAAGGGACTTGCTTTCGTGCGGGGATGTGGCCACAAATCCTGGCCCGAAAGGGAAGAAGTCG